TGTATTCTTCTGGATAGGTCAGTGAAGTTTGTTAAATTGGATATGAATTTATTGCTTACTCCATATCTGTACCCCTAGCACCTATTTGAGCACTGGGTATGGCGGGAATATTTCCACCACAGTCATCAGTAGACACTACAAATTTGGGCTCCCACCACCAAAATAAAAGATCTGATTTTGTGAAAGCATTTACCAGCAAACCACTGGAAATAATAATTCACCGGTGAATTAATATCCTGTTAAGTAACCCATTCCCCTTCTTTGAATATATCTGATGTTAAATATGAAACCATATTGTCAATTATAGAAAATTCCACATAATTGACCGATTTTGAGAAAAGCTCATATTATTTTTGGGATAAATGGGAACTATCAACTTTATGTTATGTTACGTTACATTACTTTATGTTACGGTGGAAAATAAAGTCCATCCATTCAATTAATATTAAAATTACTAATTTGTAAATAGCAGTACTTTCAAGGTTGTAATATAATTTGTATGTCTGCCTGCCTAATTTCTTTTTAGCCAAATTAGCTAAACTTTAGCCAAATTAGGGTATAAACTTGCTCCCTAGGAGAAAAAGTGGCCACATACAATGGAAACAGAAATAGAGTGTCCGAGACAATAAATGACCAGAGCAGATAGGTAAGTGAGAGCCCAGAGCAGCAATGGTTTTCCAATAGAAAATTATTATCAGACACGCCACATACTCCCAGACATTGCTCTCACATTCATGTGTGTGTATGTGCATACATGTGCATGCAGACGCACATACCACCTATGCATACATCGCCTGTTTGCACATGGTAACTGTAGACAACATTTACCTCATGCTGATTCTGTGCTAGAAGCTGTTGGAGCACATATATTGTCACAGGTCATCTGCAGAACAATTCCTCAAGATAAATACTAATATTATCTTCATTCTAGAGACGAGAGCCTGAAGCACAGGTTGTCAAGGTCATAAGGCCAGTCGGTGGTGGAACATGGCAGTCTGAGCTGTGAGCCCATGCTCTAACATCATGGCAGTGTGAGCTGGTAGGAAGGGAATGCGTGTTGGAGGTTCAGGTCTGGCGCTGCCATTTTGCACCTGGGCCACCTTGAGCAAGTGTATTAACCTCTCTGAGCATTAGCATCCTTTTCGACAAGTAGACACAATTACATGTACCTCCAGGAGTGGTGATGAAGTTATGTGGTGATGGTCATGGCAAGTGTTGGACAGAGTAGATTTTCAACACATGTTACATACTCCCTTTGCCTTCTGCCTCTTTCGTGACTGATGTGGGCACCAGAAGCAGCCTTTATCTGCGTGTGGAGATGCTCAGATCTCACCCTGCTGGGGTGTGGGGTGGGGGTGTGGGTCAGAGAAAGAGAGGTGAGAGCATCAAGGCCTGGCTACCTTACTATTCTGGGCCTGTTTGCTCGCGGCTGAATGAAGATAATAGTGCTTAGCTTACAGGGTTTTATGAAGATCCGAGGAGATCATCTTTGTGAGAATGCCCTACAAATGTAACATAAGGGCACGTCAGGTATTATAATTCATTCCAATCTGTCTCATTCAACATAATTGAGGCAGGAAGAATCCCGAAGCCTAAGCATTGTTAGGAGACTGATTTGTGTTTTCAATTGTTCTTCTGGAAATTTTAAAAGTAGTTTCAGCCTAAATGAGTATTGAAGCGATTTCTATTTCCCTTTAAACTCAGAGATGCCAAAACCCTGTGATTTAGACTCCCAGCAAATACCACTGGAGCTGCCTGCCTGCTCACAGTTTTAATCAAGCACTTAGTACTTTGCTGAAAGGAAGAAAATAATGTTCTCAGTCACGGTGAAGCCTTTCAGCAAGACGGGCAAACTCACCTATTGCGGACCCACTATGGTTTGAAGGTCCGAATTCATTAGCATGGTTTCCAAGGCCCTTCAGGTTTGAAATCTGTTTTATCTCTATCCCTCTGCCTTCCTCCTCCAGCTTGCCTGCTTCCCCGATCTACTCGCCGTTCGATTAATACATCACTCCATTCCACAGCTCTGTGCTTTTACCCATGCTTTCCCCTCCGTCTGGAATGTCTTCAGCTCCACCAGCCTGCCACCACTTCACACAGAGTCCGTGTTTACAGTGACATCTTACCCATCCTTTACCTATAGCTCAAACACCCCCTACCCTACGAAGTCTTCCTTCTCTGTCTCACTCTCAACCTGAATGTATGTCTTCCACCCTTACGTTTCCCTTGGGGTCATTTACGCATCCGTCTATCCATCCCTCCGTCCATCTATCTGTCTAGCCAGCCTTTCCTTCCTCTCTCCCTCCCTCCATTCTTCCCTCCTTCTTTTCTCCTTCCTTCCGTCCCTCTCTTTTTTCATCCATCATCCAACATCTGAAAGTCTTTTATATTCTAGGCACAATCCAAAACCTTAAAGTCCAAAAAAAAAAGATAAAAGCAAACAAAAACGACACTAGGTCTCAGCCTTAAACATCCCTTTATTTAATATTGAAAAATTTCAAAATATTGTAGCTGCAGTGAGTAAATGAGATAATGGTCATCCATTAAGGATGGAAAAATGTTTTCTCATGGGTAAGTCACAGAAGACTTAAGATAGGAGGTGATAGCCACACTTACCCATTTTAAAGAATGAGTAAGAAATTGCCATGCGGAACTCATGGATTGCAGTGATTTTCCTGCTGCTGTGTGCTTGCTTGTATGTGTGGCTTCCTACCTCTGTTATTCTAGGAATCATTTCAGGGCATAACTCATATACCATTATTCATTCTGAGTCCCTTGAGGAACGCCTAGCATATTGAAATGAATGAATGGAGAGCCGCGTGGTGATGTTTTAGGAAGAGAAAAATATTTTCTTTTTATAAACATGAAGGTGCCCATGATGGCAAGACAGGAAGAGATCCAGTCTTAGAGATGAGCGCTATGAAGGCTAATCTCATGCTCCATTGTGAAGCAATACTAACCAAGGATTATTCAACACTTCATGTGTTCCAGACACTTGCTGCATATTTTTCCTTCATTATTATAATCAATCTGCAAAACAATCTTGGCTCATAGGCATTAATATTATCTTTTTTTTTTAAGATTGACAAAAACTGTCACACAAAGAGGTAAAGAAGTTTTCCCAGGTCACACAGTTGTGACTCACCTGAGATTAAACTCTAGCCCTGCATCCTGAGCCCAGGCTCAGCTGCTGCACGGTACCCATCCACGCTGGTGCTCCTTCACGTGCCGCAGGGGCCAGCCCAGGGCATTCTGGGGGATGTTCCACCAGCATCATAGCAAACTCATACTGTGCATCTCTACCTGAAAATTCAGTTCAACCTTGGGGGACACTATGATGGGTCATTTGAGTCATTCTAGTAGGTACATAAAAGCCTCGCCTTTGGGATTTTGATTCATCGCAATAATGAGTGACATATTCTATGTGACACTATGATTTAGCATTTTCTCTGATACCAGGCACCCGAAGCTTCATATAGAAGTTTGGCCATGCCCAAAAGATTTCAGACAAAAAAATGAACAAAAATCTATTCAATTCAGCTCAGTCTATATTTCATCATCTACAATAACAGTATAATGACAACTAATGTGTCAAAATTAAACGAGATGAGACATGTCCAATGCTTAGTATAGAGCCTATCTTATGGTAAGTGGTTGATAAATACTTTCTTAACCCTCAATATTGTTAGCTGAGATAGATACATAGTTTATATTATATGCAAATATATAATAACAAAACTGTAAAATATTGCATGTTCTGCATTATGTATTACTTAGCATAATGTGTATTGCAACCTATTATCCCGTACTATAAAACTAGTTTATACTATCCGTAGTATAGTCATTAAAATTTTTTTCTTTCATTTCCATTCCATCTTTCAGAAGCTACAGTACAAAGTGCTGATTGGAAGCTCAGGTTTTGAAGTCTGCATTCAGTTGAATCCTATTCTTTCATGTATTAGCTATGTGACCTCAGCCAAGACATGGTACATTAGTAAGAACGAGAATAGTAATCCTAGCCTCATTAGGTCTTCTGAGGATTAAATGAGGCACAAATCACTAATCACTAAGCAAACTGTTTGACAAATAGTAAGCACTTAAACAATGTTGCTGTTATTGTTACCTTCAGCACCATCACACTATTTTCCATGTCTTCCCAGCACCCCTGGGAATATTTTATATACACAACACACATCCAAAAGGTGATGCAGAAATGGCGGAAGCTTGGGAAATACATGCTCAGTTACAGAGCATTCTTCCTACTTTTAGATCCTTTCCAACTCTCACTTGTTATGACTCTACACGAATAAAGGAATGAGATGCAGTGCTTCGGAACTTGGCGGCAGCAGTCCTGAAGGGCAGCAGGGCAACCCCACCAATTTATAAGATGCCTTTATAGTTTGAATTGGGCATAGGGACCAATATTGGGAGCTGGGGATGCTAGATGTTCTGGATTGTCAAGGACAGTCCCTCACGCAAAGAATTGTTTTGCATCTCATGTGATTTCAAAGGTTTTGCAGTATAGTTATTAATAAGTTGCTTATAATCATTACAATCACACACACAGACACACACACAGAGTATGAGTCTCATGGTTTTAAAATAAAGATAACTGTCCAGGAACACTACTCCATGTAAAGTGATAAAAAAATTAATATGTTATTTTTAGACTGTTACCAAGAGTTATTACCCATTGAGAAAATCACCAACAGTAATAACTTCATGATAATTGAGTTGCCAGTGTAACACACACAGTTCAGCCTATGTTTGTAGCTGTCATCTTCCTGGGGAGCCTAGGATACTGGAACGCTGGACCACTTGCTAGGTCTTCTAGAGTGTTTATGTGTCAGTAATTATATATAATTAAACATGCATGATGCACAATGATGAATAGTTACGTACACAATAAAATATTCTTATGCAGTAATACGTTTTATTTATTGAATTATACATTTTATTTTGTCAAACTAATTTTATTTCATATATACTACATTCAGGTGTTTCTGTTGGCTTTCTTGAAATCATTTGTGTAACTAGGTTATATTATCTGTGAATTTCATGTCAGGATTTTGCAAGGAGGCCTTGTAAGATATTTATTAGAAAGTGGAAGTGTTGGAACAAATTGTATTGAGTTGTTGAGGAGCCTGCCTGGCACTGTGGAGCCCTGCAGTGTGGCTTCACCACTTTCTCCCTGTGTGATGATGGACAGGTCTTGCCTTCAGAGCCAGGGCTCCTACCTGAAGACGGGGATTCTATCCGTGTGCCCAGGGTTACATCAGACCCTGAAAGTGCTTAGCAGAGCACTGGGCACATGTTAAGCACTCAAATATGCTAGCCTTTCATTATAAATCATAGTTTTACATGGATTGCTTATCCCTCTGGGCCTTGTCTGGGAGATGGGCTAAAAATATTATCTCAGGGTAGTTGGGAGAGTCTACATATGTAATGTTTGCAAACTCAGCATAGTGCTTGACATGTGATGGATTGTAAAACGTTAACTCTCTTCTTTTTATGTGTGTTAATCCTAGCTCTACAGTCATGACTCGCATTCCTAAAACCATAGCCCTCAATCCTGTGTGAAGGACCTAGAAGGTCCTTTACATTATATATTGATCATGTTGAGGAAAGAGATGACAGTTAACTCTACGCAACTCCGATTCTGGCTTTTATATGACAGCTGCATTTCTAAAGCCTTGTGTGATTCTTTTTTGTCTATTTGCAATGGGAAAGTAAGCTTCAGATACAAAAATCTGATTAGAGGTCTTCAGGTATAAACTGTATATTAGGTCACCCACGCATTTAAATGGCAATCCACATAATAATCTCAAGATAAAACGGAAGGGATGTCCGTTTCAGTTTTCCACTCTGGCCTCTTCATAGCATCTGCGTTACATACTTCACTGGTGCTTGTACCGTGAAGAATCGCAAATCTTCAGTAAGTAATAGGGTCATTCCTATCCCACTGCCACCTAGTCTTCAATCCACCTGCTCAGGGCTGGGTATTGGTGGTGCAGAGGCTGCCCAAGCTGCACCAGTGCTGATGATGGAGCCCTGCAGGGCATCCGGGAACTTCTCATGGTGATTTCCCGTAGACTGGCTCTTCTCCTCCTCTGAATTCCCACCATCTCCTTAGCCTTCCAGGCAAAAGTCATAAAGAGCATACATTCTTGGCCTAGACATGAGTTTGAATCCTGATTCAGTCACGAATTATCTATATAACATCATTCAAACCCTTTTTGCCTCGATTTCCTCTTCTATAATATAGGAATCTCATACACTTGTTATAATTAAATGGGACAGTATATAAATGAGACAAGAAATGATGAGTTCATGACACATTAACTTTTTTTTTCCCCCAAACGGTAACTTTTCTCACCCAGTAAATTTTACTTCACTATTTAATCCATCCCTCAATGAAGTCAGAAGCAATTGCTACAAATATCTTCAAAAGTTATACACAATTATCATGGGACACTCAACACTGTCTTCCTAATACAACAGTTATATTTGCTCCCTTCCTTCAAATTTTCCATAGTAGTGGGGAAGCTGATGAAATTGACCATGTCTTTTGTTTCAGTATCCATATTCCTAGAAGTTTCTGGCACAGAGTTGAAGACAAATAAATGACAGGTTTTATAGATATGTATTTCAGACATACAAGAACAGCAAACAGTCAGCCAAATGAAATATTCAAGAATACATGTTGACTAAAAGCATTAGGCATCACCTTTAATTTATGGATCAGTTGATTGTCTATTCAAATACCTTTCTAAAACTTACTTTTTGACAAGAATTAGCGTTCCCATTTGGTAGAGATGAGTCTTGAATGTCATGCTAACAAGCTGGGACTTGATCCTAGGATTTAAGATCAGCAATAAAATCTGAGTGAACAAAAAGACTAACAGAATGACATGTAAGTGAGATCAACTTGTTGCTCAGTCTGATCCAAGTCCTAACTTTGTCCTAGCAATGCACAGATCCCTTAGTGAGCTCTCTGAATCAATAAGAGACCTACTTGCTTCTCTGTCCAATGGCTCCCCATTTTACATACAGCAAGAACCAAAGTCCTCGAGAGAGTTTGCAAAGCCCTACCTTCTGTTATTCTTCTACTCATCCTCTCTCTTCTTTCCCTCGTTCACTCTAGTCCTGCCATACTCACCTGCTTGTGACTTAACATGCCAAATAATCTTCCTCCTTTGCACTGGCTTTTCCTTTTGCCTCGAATATCCTATCCCTAGATGCTCATATTGCATGGTTTCTTTTCAAGTCTTGGCTCAAACATCACTCAGTGAGGTCTACCATATTCGCCGTATTTAAAATTGCAGCATTCCTCACTGTTCTCACTTCCCCATATCCAATTTGGTGTTTATCCAAAAAACCAATACCCTCTATCGTATTATATAATTTGCTACTTCCCTCCACTAGAATATCAAATCCAGGAAGTCAGGAAGTTCTGCGTCTTTTATCCCCTGCTATATCCCAAGCCGTGCATAGCTCTTGGTAAGAGCTTAATATTTGTTGGATAAAGGAACGAATAAGTGGATTGCTCCGACTCTAAATCTTTTTCCCCCAGTCACTATTCAAGATGAAAGAACCACAGCTCCTTCAATTTGCCCTCATAAATTTCTGTTTCATAACCAATTCATTATGAGGGTAATTTTTCATTGCATACAATTTTGTTTGTTACATTTCCAGCAATTCTGACCAAAGAGATAAAGAGAGAAATGAACAGGATGAAAATAGACAAAAGTAATATACATACTTTTTATATATGCAATTTTCACTTGAGTCATTTGTCCCTTTTTAATCAGGAATTGATGATGCGCAAAAGCAATCAACGGATCTGAAAGAACTCAGGGGGATCACAAAAATCAATGTGCTGATATGCAACCATGCATTTCCTTTATGTTAATTACTTGCATTGCTGAAACCCAGAAATCATTCATTTAGTGCTCAATCTGATAGGCTTTCTCCTTTCTTCAGGTTGCATAATGACATTCTTTCAGGCACTCATTTTCTCTATGTTCCTATATAAAAATTGTGTAATGTTTTTTCCTCGTTCCAAATCATCCAATATAGTAATATGTTAGTATTATCTTTAGTACCTTCTCTTGATTTTTGTTAGCAAGTAAGAATGTTTTTATTTTAATTCCTCCCCTCAAGGTTTTTTTGTTGTTGTCTTGTTTTTCTTTCTTTTTACTGTTAAATGCTGATATTACTTCTGGAGTGTGTGAGTGAAGGACTTCACATGTTCTATATCCAAAAATCAATGGTAAAATTGGCCAAAACTGACCAAAATAACTATTTTGGGACTCTGGAAATTGATCAAAAGCATACATCAAATTGAGAAGTATTTATTCAAGAAAAAACTATTATAGAAAGCCCACTAAGCTAGGCAAAACCAGTGATTTGCTTTTCCTTTTTTCTCCTTGTGGTTCTTTCATCTGACCTTCTGATCTGCAGGGTCTCCTTTCCCTGATGACCCTAGGCAGGAAGGACATCTAGACCTAATCAAGTGAAGTCTTATCTAAGCAGGTTAGATTTTTACCTGAGTTTTAGCTATCATTGCCATACAACTTATAACCAGGACTCACTTTTTCAGAAAAGCCCAAAATAAACAAAAACATATTGGAAAACACATCCCCAAGTGGGTAACTTTCGTTAATTTTGACTCTCCTTCATAATTTCCCCACTTTTGTTTATTGCTAAGGGTCATCAAGTAAGGGAGTTTATACTTCCAGAGTGGAACAGAAACTGCCTGGATGAAAGGTTGTCAAACTTTTCCTGCAGAGGCCAGTGAGCAGACATTTTAGGCTTTGAGAGATGCATGTGGTCTCTGTCACATATCCTTATTTTTAAACACCCCTGAGAAATATATTTTTTTTAAATCTTAGCTTGTAGGTTATTAAAAAGGAGATTTATTAAAAAGGGGACTAGGATTTGGCCCATGGTCCATAGCTTGCCAAACCCTACCCTAGGTATTTTTGCCTTTTCAAAATTAAACTTTTTATTTTGGGATTGTTGTAGATTCATAAGCAGTCCTAAGAAATAGTATAGAAGAACCTCTTTCTCCATTTTCCCCTATTGGTAACATCATGAAGTTTCATAGCACAGTATTACAACCAGAAAACTGATATTGATGTAATCAAGAAAATGTTATTGAGTTTTAAGCCTTTCTGCAATTTTAATAATATCATTTAAAGTTAAAGAGTTTTCCTCAAAACACTGTTTTGGCTACATCCCATGAGTTTTAATATATTTTGCTTTGATCACCATTCATTTTGCTGTAAATATTTTCTAACTTCTCTTGTAAATTTTTCTTTGACCCATGGATTAATGATATGTGTGTTGTCTAGTAATAAATTTGGGGGATTTTTTTTCAGAATATCTAATTGATAACTAATTTCATACTGTTGAAGTCAGAAAACACACTCTGTAAGATCACAAACTTCTGCTAGTTAATTAGACTTTTCTTAAGGCCCATCATCTGGCCTAGCTTAATGAGCGTCCCAGGTGTATTTGAAAATTTGCACGTTCTGCAGCTATTGGGTTTACACTCTGTCGATGTTAAGGTGGTATCAGATTATAAACTACAGTATAAAATAAATATCTATGAGTCCATACTAATATAAGTAAATGATTAAATAACAAGAAAATGAATTATAAGAGACACAGCTCCCATGCAGAAAAATTCCAAATCATATATATAGATATCCCACCCTCACCGAAGTGTAGCGTTCCCACTCCTTAAGTACGGGCTATGCACAGTGAATGCCTTCCAAAGAGTACAGTATAGAAAGGAGGGGAAAGGTGAAACTTTACTAAGGAGAAATCTGACAATCACTGCCTCAGCCAAGTGGTCAAGCTCAACATCAGTAGCACTAAGCCATGTTGACAGTCTATGCCCTTGTGAGGAGAAGGGTGCTTCACCTCTGTGGGTTTCCCACCAAAAACCTATAGTCTTAGTCAACTCATGAAAAAAAATTAGAAAAATCCCAGCAGAAGGACATTTTACAAAATACCTGACCAACACTTGCAAAATCGTTAGACTCATCAAAAGCAAGGAAAATCTTAGAATCTGTCACAGACTAGAGGACGTAAGGAGACATGATCACTAAGTATCATGAGATACCCTGGCTCGGTTCTTGGAATTAAAAAAAATGTATTAGATAAAAGCTAAAGAAGTATGAATAAAATACGAACTTTGCTTAATGGTAGTATATCAATATCAGTTCATTAATTGTAACAAATATGCCATGCTAACATTAAGGTGTTAATAACAGAAGAATCTGAGCTTGGGGTTTATGGTAACTCTGCACTATCCTCAAAATTTTTCTATAAATCTAAAACTGTTCTAACAAGTAAACTTATTAAAAATTTAAAAAATTCATCTTCCCCCCAAAAGCTGTCTCTTTACAATTTCATAAAAAAATGACATACTTTTGGATAAATCTGGAAAAAAATGTGTAAACTCTGTACGTTGAAAACTATAAAACATACTGGTAGCTGAGGGACATTAAAGAAGCTCTAAATGGAGAGATATGCTGAGAGTTGGTAGATGTACTAAGAGTTGGTAGATATATTGAGAGTTGGTAGACTCAATAATGCTGTCCAACATACCCAATTTATCTACAGATTTGATGGAATTTCAAACAAAATTCCAGAAACCTTTTTTATTTAATTGACCAGATGATTCTAAAAGCCATATGGAAATGCAAAGGATTTAATAAAGCCAAAACATCTCTGAAAACAAAAACAAAGCTGGACAAACACTACCTGATTTCAAGACTAATTATAGAGCTACAGTCATCAAGAGAATGTGGTTCTTACATTAAGACAGACAAATATATTAATGGAAAGAGATAAAAAGTCCAGAACCCATCCATTGATTTCAACAAAGATGCAAATGTAATTCAGTGAAGAAAGGATAGCCTTCTTAAATGGAACTCAAACAGATAGTCGTATGTAAAAACATGAACTTGGATCCATAGTTTGTACAATATATGAAAAATAACTCCAGATGGCTCATAATCCTCAATGTAAAACCTAAAACTAAAATTGCTACTCTGGAATCTGTTATTCTGGAAAAAAATCTGTTACCCTGGAAAACCATGGCCAATAAATGTTTTAAATTAGTCTTCACAAAATTAAAAACGTCTACTTTTACCTCTTGTTAGCCAGTGCTTAGTCACATGGCTTCTCAAAGCTGCAGAAGAAGTCAGGAAATATAGTTTCAATTCTGGGATGCCATGCACCCAGGTGAAAACTCGATTACAGAAGAAGAAGAAGAAATGAATGGATAAGGGCATAACTGTTCGTCTTGATCACAAATACTGCACAGAAATTAAGTAAGGAAGACAGCCAAGTTATGATTTTTTATGTATGAGTTCTCCAATGCTTTCATTGAAATATTAACATGTTCTTTCTATTATTTAAACATTCATTTTTATCTAGCTTTAAAGAAATGTTTTTTTTTGGTTTTTTTTTAAGCTGAGCCATCCTGCCACCTGTTGGCAGCTCAGCGGCTGCTCAGCTCAGGCCAGGAATTGAACCGCTGTTGCTCAGAGCTCACACTCTTGAGTGAGCTCTTAACCAAGAAATTTTTTAGAGCAAACTGAAACCCTCCAATAATACTGTCCCATCATAAGAATGTTTGCCTCTTTTATCACATACCTTGAGTATTGAAGTTGACATCATCGCTCCTCCTCGATTTGAGTCCTCTTTCTGCCTAAATAGCCCAGCAGAGAACTCAGCACAGAGTATTTGCTCAATAGATATTTTTCTAAAAAAGCATGAACAAATGAATGAGAACAACCAAAACATCCATAATAGCTGTGACTGCTAAAGTGACTGCTAAGAGTAAAGCATTGGTTCATTTAGATTGTTTTAGACATCCACTCCATGGCAGACATTGCTTAATATCTATGACATATAAAAACTCACATAACCACACAACTCTTTAAAGTAGGTTCTATTGTCCTATTTTATAGATGAGGAATTGAGGTTTAGAGAGATTGAGTTACTTGCACAAGTTTGCTGCACTAAGAAAAAGTAAGTGATGGCCTGATGTTACTGAAAGAACATTGATCTTGATGAATTTTTCTAAGTATACTAAGCAGACAAACTTGGATAAGTCCTTTTCTTTAGCTGAACTTTATTTTCCTCATCTGAGAAATGAAAGGGAGGATTTCGTTGTGTGTTATCGTTGTTATCATTTGTCAGGAGTCTGAGGGTTTCCAGTTTTTCCATCCAGCCATGGGATGTCTTGGCCACTCTGAAAAATAACGATTCTGCTTTTATCCCACTTGGAAACTGCCAACCCTTGTTCTCCATCACCCACATCTTTTATTGTATCATAATTCCATAGCTAAGCGTCACTTATCTTCCCTTTCATGAACTTTGAGACCTTGTGCAAACACTGCCCCATCCGAGGAGTCCAAGCCTTGAGCAGAGACATGTTTCAAACTGTGTATACAGTAAAAACAAGTTTCCCCATTTTTAAAACTGACCACAAGAAACACCTTGGGAATAATGCAATGGCAACACCTGGTCAGATCATACGTAAAGAAGCAAATATACATACTCTTACCCCATTAGAGGGTGTGCCAACAGGACTCTCTACCTCAAGCCAGAAGAAAGGAAACAATAAATAAGGTAGCATATTGTGACACTGACAGCTTGATAAAAAGCAGCATTGTGACATTTATAAAAGGTTCTTTATTTTTTGTATTACTTTGGAAGGAGAGGAGGGAGGAAATGTGCCTAGTTCCTTTCCTTTTTCGAAAGTCATCTGTACAGTACACCTCCTGAGGTGAGGAGAACAGCGATATAGAAAACTTCAGGATTCTGCCCTTGGCGAAACCTGTTTGATTCTTGAGACTGTGATAATCAGATTTTTATGAAGAGGCTCTGGGTTGGAACATACAATGTTTAATTAATTGAATGGGAATCCATTTACCAGTGAGGACAATTTTTATTCAGAAAAGCTCTGGATGGAGAGTCAAAAGGGGTCACCTGGGCCCTGGGCTCTGGACACCTCGGTCACCACAAACATCTAGCTTACCTTA